AATTATCTTTATACTTGCAATATCCCCGTATTACAAGGGATGATAATGAGTGTCCTGTATTATAAGGACCCGGGCTGAATGAATCCCGTAATCAATATCCCCATACTATAAGGGATAGTAAATAAATATCCTGTACTAAAAGGACCCGGACTGAATAAATCTCGTAATTAATATCCCAGTACTATAAGGGATAGTAAATAAATATCCTGTACTAAAATGATCTGGGTTGAATGAATCCCGTAATCAATATCCCCGTACTATAATGGATAGTAAATAAATATCATGTACTAAAAGACCCGGACTGAATGAATCCCGTAATCAATATCCCCATACTATAAGGGATAGTAAATAAATATCCTGTACTAAAGGGAAGATTACCCACGGTAACATTACCCAAGGAAAGCATACCCAAGGGAAGATTACCCACGAGAACATTACTCAAGGAAAGATTACTCACGGTAACATTACCTAAGAGAAAAGTACCCAAGGGAAGATTACCAACGATAACATTACTCAAGGAAGAGTACCCAAGGGAACATTACCCAAGGAAAGATTACTCACGGTAACATTACCCAAGGGAAGAGTACCCACGGGAAGATTACCCACGGTAACATTACCTCAGGGAAGCGTGTCCGAGGAAAGATTACCCAAAGGAAGATTATCCAAGGGAAGAGTACTCAAGGAAACATTACCAAGAGAAGAGTTCCCAAGGGTAGCAAAAAAAAAACCCCACTATTCCTGAGGGAACAGTACCCGCGGCACTCTTCCCCGAGGGAACAATGCCAAGGGCCAAAAAAAAAAAAAAAAGTTACTGTTCCAGTGAATAGTAACCCGCGGGCACTCGAGGGAACAGTGCCAGGGGCAAAAAAAAAAAAAATTTTACATTCCCAAAGCCAGACAAGCAAGTTTGAGAATGGGGGGTAACTGATAGGGAAATATAAACCTACCCTACCTTGACCTAACGATAGAGGCAACTAAGCGATAACCAGCCGCAAGACCTCATATTTTCATTGGATAAGAATGATTAGATTTCATTATCAAGGATAATGAAATCTGATGTGGTTCAACAGGGTAAGGATAAACCTGGCACAATTGGAGGAAGTCAAAAAGGTAAAATCATATCCCCGACAAATCTGGCAACAAACGGATCTCCTCTGATCTCGCATAAGTGGATCTCCTCTTATCTCGCACAAGCGGATCTCCTTTGATCCCGCAAATGAACTGAGAAAGAGCGATTATAAGAATGAGATCCTACCGGTCAATAAAGGTACGACTAAAAATGATTATTAAATCCCTGTCTTTCTTTTAGACCTCCGGTGATTGACTTGATCGTCGGAGAGCTCTTGGCAAACACCACACCGGTGCCGTCAAACTTCATCGATCTTCTATTCTTTTCTTTGCAAAAAAACGATGCCGTATCGGACCGCATGGATTTCACCCTCAACAGATTCTGTTAACCATAGTTACTCAATTTCAATATGTTACGTGTCGGTAATTAGCTTTCATTTCAAGGATTGCATTCTCTCTCCTAATAGCTGTGATGTTTGGGAGAGTTCTTGTTCAGATTGTAACCAAACCATTTGAATGATAGTTTCTTTTGCGTTTTGTCCACCCTGTGAAATAGCTTCACTCAGATTGAATTAGAATAAATGACAGATACTTATTTATAGAAGTCCTGCACCTACTAGACTGATATGATGTTTTACAATGAAGGGTGAAGATCTACCCTTTAAAATTCTACATATCAACAATTGTACCCAATACACTACATTTTCAGAATATTCTTTAATCTACAAATTTTTACAAGTTCTCTAATGTTTTAAAACATTCCTATTATTTCTCAACACTCCACAATTCTCTACCCAAATCTTAAAAACTCGAACTTTTAACTCCCCTCATGCGATGCTAATTGCAGTGCTCGCATGGAGCTGACTCGATCACACATATTTGAAACACTCATGGAGCATTTATTATTTAAAGGTAAAATTGGAAACTACATTTATTTGAAGGGTAATTTTGGCATTGTAAAAAATTATTCTCAGGAAGTTAACGGTCAACTAACGATCACTTAACCTATTATTTTGTTCAAATCACATTGGAAATTATAGTTATTTTTTTTAATATGAATGTGAAAGTTGCAAACCTCAAGAAGATTTGAGAGTAATTGACCCATATATATGTGTGTGTATGACATAGACAAATATGTGCCTATGTAATTCACATATCATACCTGCATTATCTTATCTTTGAGGAATAATAAACACAATAATGTTTGATGATGGCGAGTACTTACAAAAGTAATAATAATAATAATAATAATTCTTGGCGAGTACTTACAATAATAATAATAATAATAATTGTCTCCAATTTGTTGAGGGTAAATCTTATTTTTATAATTGATTGTGTAATGAAAAATGATAGAAATCCTATTTGGTTGTTAGCTGTGCAAAGAGAGTCTATCTTATTTATTAGACACTATTTAGTATTTTTTGGAGTAGCATATTCTAAAATAATTTTTTGGAGTAGCATATTCTAAAATAATGAGATCCTCTCTTGTTGGAAGATTCTGTAATTTCAAAATTTTGAGGCACAACAAAGTTAATTAAAGGTGATTATATTTCATAAAGACTCGATAAAAAATGGTCAAAAATAGCAAATTCTTTTTTATTCATACCAAAACCTACATCCTTCACATATTAAAATATTAACATAACAATTTAAACAATTAATTATCACAAAATATGCACAAGGAGTATGCTGTATAAGGTCGGACAAGGACTACATGGTCCATGCCTCATTAGTGAAATCTTTTGACTTTATCGGCAAAGTGGCCTCGTTTGGCAATTAACGTCGTTATATTACCCACATTTCAGATTCTCTGACCCATTGGAGTTGAGTGAGAACTAAAAATGCTCTAAGCTTTGTAAGAATATTGGACAATAACAGACTGGTATAAATCAGGAAGGGTCACTTTCTATGCCAAATGGGGTCATTCACTTTTGCTATACGTAGTGATAGAACGTACCAAAATAAACTAAGAATTATCTTAAATTCATAAGGAAAAAAAAATATTCACAGGGAATCTGATAATATATTAATAATTCAAAGATTGATATGCAGTACATGTATTTATAAATAAAAAAATTCTAACAACATAAAGGAAACCCTAAACCCTAAAAAGGTAAGAAAACTTGCTCAAGGACACTACTCAAAAACAAAAACTTGCTCTAAAAATTATGTAAAAATAAGGAAAAAAACCTGATTACTAAAAACTGCTAAATACCAAAAAGGAAAGCAAATCAGATACACTTAGTCTTCAAACGAAAATTCTGAAATATTCAAAATTGGAAAAACGCAAGAACGATTGAATTCGGCCAAAAGGCACCCTACCTCGGCAGCAAAACTTTCGATATTTTCGAGTTAGGCTGACCTTTTAATGATCCAAACGGGTTCCAAAATCTTCAACTATCTGTTTTGCATCCTCATCTCCCTCTATAAATTAACTTCACCCATTGAGCCCCCTCTCTGTCCCTTTTATCACCACCACTACTACTACTACTACTGCCTATTTGTACCCAAACAAGAACAATTCGGTGAGAATATGTCTAAACTTGGCACCCTCTTCATGATGGCGCTTCTGCTCTTCTTCACGCTAACATGCACCGCTCGTTCGAGGCCTCTTGTGACAACCAAGACCGGGGTAGGTCCAATTTATTCATTTCATTAAAAAAATGGCAATAAAATTCATTCTCAATTTTCTGATAGATTGTTTCTAATCACTATTGTGGGTATTGATTTTCTTCTATATATATAAACAGGATGTTGAGACAGAAAACATTGAGATTAATGAAGCAAGTTGTGAAGGATTGGACGAAGAAGAGTGCGTGATGATGAGGACACTTGCAGCCCATGTTGATTATATCCATTCCCGGAAGAACCCCAGGCCATGAATCTTTCTAATCTACACTGTTTCCATGGTTTAAGAAAAACCATAGTTACTACCATATTGCATAATTTGGCTAAATTGTTAGAATAATATATATATATATATACACACACACACACACTTGTTGATATGTGTTTTGTTGTTCTTTATGTGCTACCACAATACCGATTGGATTTTATAGCTCATTCAAACTAAAACCAAACAGTTACTCCCAATTTTAGACAGGCCCGAACAACAACAATATCAACCAAGTCTTTTTTTTCCCCTCAAATACTTGGGGAGTTGGGGTCGGGTACCTAAATCCTATATTTCCGTTCTGCTCAATTTAAACATCATACCTTGACACCCTTGCCTATTTCGGGAGCTGATGCAACGCCAAGAATGCCCTAGTGTTTATTAATAATAGAATTCGTGTTCATATCGGTCATGAACCCTCTTCCTTTATCCGGGCTTGGGACCGACAAAGAAACACAGGCAGTGAAATTGCGACCTCCCTATCCATATGTTTTTACCTGTTAAAGAAAATAGGAATCAACCTAAAAAAAGAGGGGGGAAAAAACAAAGGAATGTCAGTAGACCAATTATCTGACAATTGGCTCACGAAAGTAATCCATTCTGAAATGCTTTATAAGGATTTGATCATCAATCAACATCAAGTATTTCATTACAGATCTGGGTAAGTTACTAAGTTACCATTTCAGATTTTGCTTGACATATACATACACGCAAGCTACAGACAATCAGACCCCTCTTTTTCCAAGCAATAGGTAATGCTTCACATACTCATGATTTGGTGAGAATATTATTGCAAATTCCATGAAACCGAGCAGAAATGTTCGCTCGTGATTTGGTGAGAATATTATCGCAAAATTCTATGAAACAGAGCAGAAATGTTCAACAATGGTGAACAAGGTCCTCCATTATAAGAAAGTGTATTCATCAATGAGGGTGTGCCCGAAGCTCATTGCAAAATCAAATCTTTAGTTTAGTGGAATGAAAAACTAAAGATGCTTCTATCTTGATAGGTGAGACCCTCCACTGAAAGTTTAACATGTAAAAAAAAAAATGGGGAAGAAGTTGAGACGTGTCACCATTAACACTGCGGCATAAATATTTACCATTCGCGCCAACCATGTCACCATCTTGAACCCCCAGGAATTTCTTTTCCTCTTGATCTTTATCTCCATGTTGCACGAAAACAGAAAATCGATTAAGGCTTCGATAAATTGTCATCACATACAGGTAGCTACTGAACAAAGAGTCATAGTCATGACTTAATAAAACCTAATATGTACAATGACAACTGATATTTTATTCAATATGCATGAATAAGAACTATTTATATCGATAATGCAAGTTCCCGTAATAAAGATGTTCTCAATTAACTCATTCAAAATGCATGAACAAGAAGATTCATTCTCTAATGAAGAACAAGCAGTGAAAAGATTCTACCAGCACCTTAAGATAATTTCAAAGTTCGCATCACTGCTATCCTTTCTAGATGTATACGGTCAAACTGGTCCTGAGATGCAACAAACAAATCTTATAAATGAGCTGAGCAATGCAAATTGACCAATAATTTATTTTTAGTTAATGGAATCACCAGATCTAAGAAAGAAAAAAAAAAAAATTGACCAATAATTGTATTCCAATGTTATCAGTATCAACAGAGACAGGGACTAGACCTCAGTGGCACGTACATGCATAAGAAAGATGGGTAATCTTATAGTGAAATGTTGACAGGATAAAGAATATATATTCACATGAACTGATTTTGTTCAACCCATTCAAGACATTTTTACACCTAACCGCAAAATGAAAATCACTTTCATTCTCAAATATTATGATAGATATAGGAGAATTATCATGCATCAAAAGAAATCCATTCCTATCTTCTCTGTAAGTCACACAATGACTGTAAGCAATGCCACTGACTCTGTTCATTCCAACAATAATGCAGATCAAAGCTCTTTACTTTCAGAGAAAAAAAAAAAAAAAAAAAAAAAATTATGTTTTCTTCAAAAGCAGCAGGTGCAGCACCCAATCACATAAAACCAAAAGTCCATTTTAGTTGTGTTAATGGTTTTAAAAGTGATCATTTTCACGCATGCACACACACACATATATATATAATCGGTGACAAACAAAACAATATCGACAGAATTACAACAGGTACTAAAGTCTTAAAAGAAGAGACAGTTCCAGTATGATGATTTCTGTAATCCTTATTATTGCAGCTGCTACTGAGTTTTTTTGTTGGTCTGAAAATTTGTTATGCAGTTAATTTTTACCAACATTAAGACGTCGATTAGTTCTAATCAAAACATTATAAATTTATCTTGATCATATGATATTTGAAAATAGTAGACAAGTTGCCTTTCATCCTCTACTGTATTTCTGTTATTATGGGTAGTAAGAGTCAGATTTCCCATCACTTCCAACTGCTTAGGTTAATACCATTACTCCAACCTGGCTTCCAAATTCTTACTTTCTCGGTGAAATGTTTAGAAAGAGGCTAAAAGTATAACATATTATGATCAATATTGATATTCTAGATAAGCAACCTATAATTATTTCTCCCATCAAATATCTTAAGTTCTGAATAACCAGAACAAACACTAAACCCATTATCCATTCATGTCAGGCAGTGCTCATAATCCCTAATCCAAATCTACCTTTAGAAGCCATGCATCAATTTTACCACTATGTAACAAAGGCTTTAGCAACCCCTCCTCCCTCCCCACTTGAAAAAGAAAAAGAAAGAAAAGAAACAAAGAAATAATCATGATGATTATAGAAGACACCTTTGAGTGATAACATTTCTTTGGAGCATAGTTTTTCACTAGCATCACCAAAAATCCAGGCAATTCAACAAACAATAGAAATTGTTGCTGCTTTTACAACAGGATAATTTGGCCTCGTTTCCCCTTATCTATTTTGAAGGTTCAATAATTTCCTGTCCCGACGAACTACAACATTTAACAGTAAGAGGGTTCATAGGTTGTTAATCTGCTTGTGCCTTCAATAAAATTATAGGTCCAACGGTACTTCCATTGGGCCAACTTGCCAAGGACAGACAAGTATCAGGCAGATCAGGTACAACCATTGCATACCCTACCCTTTGATAGGAGCTAAAATACCACAACCATCATGCCTAACGAAAAAATGAGTTATAAACTCAAGTCCAATTATGAAATCTAATTCATGGCCTAAGCAAGTTCATTCAATATTATGTAATACACATGTAGAGAAATATTGGTTCCAAAATAAAAACATTGTCATGCACTTATAAAACCAAATGAATTAGTGGTGTCAAAATTTTCTAATCAAATCTGAAATATAAAGAATTGTAAAAGAAAAGAAAAATAGAAGTAGCATACCTTGTCAATTTAAATTTGTTGGACTGCTGACAGTATAGGCCACTTTGATCCTCCAAGCTTTCTGGTGTAGAATTTTTATTTATTCAAGTTCTTGAAAAAAATGTTCCCCTGAGGTATGTTTTAGCTTTAAAATAATTACAAGGAAATTTCAGTCCATTTATCATGTGTGAAAATGGGCTAAAGGAGTTCCCTTTTTTTTTTTTCTGAAAAAAGTAACCTCACCCTTTTTAAGAAAAGAACTATCTTATGGACATCCACATGAAACAGTAGAAGCAACAACCTCACGAAAAAGTGAGAGAAAAAGTAAGCTAGTCGCATAATGCAAAATGTGCATGTTAAAAGCTTAAAGCTTTGTGCCCTTCACTAAAATAAGAGCATCAGACAAATTCAAGGCTAATAGATATATTAACCAGATCAGTTAATGAACTAAACAGCTGAAAAATCACAAATGATTGAGTTCCAAGTGCCCCCCAAAAATATTTTAGTTGGCCCAAAAAGGTGCTCCCACTAGATAGCTGAATCAAATATCAATTCCAACAACTCAAATTCTATTTTGCTTTAATATAGTTAGACTGTTACAACAATGAGAAACAACATATCACATTCTTGAGTTACAATGTACGTAGAACATCAACAACAAATTATGCTGCTTGTATTCTTTATTATACAATTTAAAACAAAGAACCCAATCCTCCCCTTAACCCCCAACCCCCAAATTCAAAAAGAAGTCACTGTCTTCCCAATGAGAAAAGAGGGAATCATTTCTGTTTCAACAGTAAGACCACTCACCTAGACGATTTCTGAGTAATCAAGATGCCTGTTCTAGTAGGCCAGTCATCATTTTTCAATTCTCCCCCAAACTGAATATTTTCACTTTTTCTTCAATGAGACCAAAAAATTGGCAATTACCATGACCTCTTTTAAGTCCATACTTGGATGTTCAAATGACTTCTTGAAATGTTTGCAATGATGTTGAAGTCCTCCAAGCATATTGTTCATAAATTTCACGGCAATAAAGGATGTTCTTGTGAAACTCCACAATCCGGCATGAGAGCTAAATATTTCCAAAACCTAAAATCAGCATTCAAGATAGAGCTAATGGTCCCATTTTGCATTTCAATTAAGATTGATGATGATATAAACATAAATCCATCCCAAAAGAAGTAAATTTGATAAGAAACCTATACACCACCGTTACATTCACGACTTCACAAGGGCAGAGGAATTAAGCAGGCAACAAGACCCTAGTACCACCCAGAACATGTAAATACAAGGCAAGGCATATGGTAACAATAACAGAAGACTTGGCACCAACATATCTGACAACCTCTAGTCCCCTGTCTACAATCTCTTCATGAACTACATTAAGACTTCTCTTGAAACCATCTAAAAATCTCCACAAGAAGAATTCCACAAGAGATCTTACTGTTTCAAATGTCACCCTCCCAGTCACATCAAGCACAAACTTTCTATTGCTTGGGACTGCCAATGTCGACGAAACAGTATTCACCCAACTACAATCCTGAATCCCATTAGATGTGTTCCTCTTTATTAATTTTGCGGAAGATGCTCTTTGCTCAGTAAATCCATTCCCTATGTTAGTTACTGATTCCTTCCGATCAACAGTCGAACAAGAACTTGAAATTGAATCAGCATCCAATTTTGAGGCCGTCAACACTTGGTGGGATGTTTTCACAAGTGTTTCCACTGCTCCATTACAAACAGAAACCAGAATGTCCATCACTTTGACCTGGTGCTTAGGGTTGGTCAGACCAGAAAACATATCATCATAAAAGTTGATATCCATGGTTTTGTCAAGATAAACAGCAACTGCTGTGCTCACAAATGTTCGAATGCAATCAGCTATGAGTGCTTTAGAATCGTCCCTGCACACCAAATTCACCCATTTGGGCAAAGTTGAAGAATTTGACCTAATATGGGATGCACCAACTTGGTTGTCACCATTCAGCCCGTCAAGTGATTGGCCATTTGAGTAAAAACCCAAAACCAAGTTCCTAGCAAAGCTACCAACAACCACCGAAACAAAACCAGTACCAGCCGTAGACATAAGCCTATCCATAATCCTATCAGAAAAACTAGAATTCACCCCTTCTTCAACTTCGTTGGTTGTGCGAAATCTGTAACCCCGCAAAATCCCTACGGTGAGAGCCTCGGTAACCCTAATCACCGAATCCGAGAACTCATCCGACCTAGCAATTTTCGATAATTGCTTCAAACTATTAGGAATTTGGTCAGAATCAGACTGCAGAAACTCCTTCAAGTCCCTGGAGACAACACCAATCGTCTCTGCGGAATCAGAAACAGTTTCAGCTATCGAAATTAGGGCTCCCACGAGCTTCACAAACCTCTTCCTCCTCCTGACCACAGAGGGCAAGTGATACACCTTATACGCACCATAACTTGAGAAACCAAACGCAGCAAGTAAAATTAGCCATTTCTTCTTTCTAGGAGAGAAATCCAAACCCTTCTTCAACGATTGTAGATCCATGTGGAGGGATAGAGAAATAGAAACACAGAACAAACCCTAGAGCTCAAAATATTCGAAAAAACCCAATCTTTAATTAAGGGTTTCAATCAATGATTGAAAATAGATTGTAGAAACAGAGACAGTACAGGGGTTGTGAAGATCGAGGGACCTAGGGTTTCGTTTCTTGTCACAGACAGGATTGAGAAAATTTATGGCAAATGGCACGAACGGATAAGTTGCTCAAGCTACGATAAAATGGGGTGTCTGTGTATATGTATAAATTTATGTATATCTATATATAGAGAAAGAAATAGAGAAATTGAATGCGCTTAAAGGACGAACCTGTGTGAATGAGTTGACGATGAATCCCCCGTTTTTCACACACACAGAGTCGTCTTCTCGAGTTTTAAAAGTGTTTGTTCGCCCAGAAAAAATAAAAAGAAATGCAGAAAGTTTGGAACTACAATCCAATCACAGAGAAGGGCACACGATTTTTAGACTACGTTACAGGGCAATTCGTGTCAGCTCGCACGTGTCAGGTGTAACACTAAGCTGATTTATGATATCAATTTGAACACCACAAGAGTTGAGTTTTTTTGACCATTTGAGTTTTAATAATACCAATCAAAATCTTGTTTATTATCTGTGCGTTTAAATTTTAAATAAAATAAAATTAATAGTCCACATATTGGGTGAGGAACGGATATTATAACTATATAGATAGAATGACGTTGTTCTTTTATTTTTATGCAACAATTATATATCTCTCTCCTTTTTAATATATTTACTTAGTCATATTACTTTTAATTTTTAAGCAAGATTAAAATATATATTAAGCAAAGACAAATCTACTAAACTTCTTTATTTGGTTTTTTTGCGAGGTCACAAAAAGTGTTTTAATGAATAAATATAGAATGTTTGAATGAAAATACCTTAATTAAAAAAATTTATTCCAAAAAAAATAATAATAATACCTCAATCAAGGTATTACTACAGTCGCCAAAATGTGGACCTAAATATTGGGTTGCCAAATTCGGCAACTCGGACATGAATTGCAAGCTTGCTAACATTTAAAAAATGAAAAATAATAAAAATAAATAAAAATTCATAGGCCCAAAGCACTGTTGCAAATTGCAACGAAACTAAGGACCTGTTTGACTCATAAAATTGCCAGAAATTAGTTTTTTCGCCCTTTTTCTTCCTTGAACAATATTGAAATAAGAGCCATTAAGTAATTATTTGGTTAACACAAATAGCGCATAAAACGGCTTTTTATCCTAAAAAAAAAAAAAAAAAGAAGTTTAGTTTCACTTTTTTTTTTTTTTTCCTTTTTTGCACCACATTGAACATAGAACCTCTAGGCACTATTTGGCTGACACAAACACGGCCTTTACTGCTCTATTGCCTAAAAAAAATTATTTTTTCCTTTAAAAATGATTTTTTTTAAAAAAGATTTTTTTAAAAAAAGTCCTTTGTTTCCACTTTTATAATAAATAAATTAACCCAATGGATATTGTATTATTTAATTTTTAAAATAATTAATTTACTAAATTAAAAATTTATAAGTTAAAAAACATTACTAAAAAAATATTTAAAATATTATTATTTTTTAGAACCAAAACGTACTATTGAAGCACACAGTGACAACTAATATTTAGAGAATGCGTAGGCGTGACTCTTGAAAAACGTATTTCTTGAAAAATGCTAACGTGTCAAATATGGATGAACAAATTTTAAAGATGTCAATGGAGTTTCCCTTAAGAGATTTAACTTATTATTTATTTGATATAAATAAGGACAATTAAAGTAGTAATCTATAATGTTTTCTTGTATTTTTATATATTCAAACCAATAAATAGAATCTTATATTTCTTTCCTACTAAATTTTCAATCTAACATAATACATGTTTAAAAGCTTGCTTTATTTTATTTTACATCATTTTCAATTTTTTTATTTTTTTAAAAAGAAAAAAAAATAAATAAATAAAAAATAGCTCCGATTTAAACTATAAGAAAATAATTTTGCTCTTCCAAATGCATTTATTCACGATCCATTGAATTTGAACTCAATCACAAATCTGAATATCTGTAATAGGATTAAAACTTTGGATCTGGCGGAATGCAGGTTGAGTACTGTGGGAATCCAACCTGATGTCATGGTTCAAGCCCAAAGATATAAGGATAAGAAATACACTAGCTTCTCCAAATCTATCTTGAGCATTTGCTTCGGGCTCTGGGAAGCCCTTTTCTCCGAGCCAAATGGCCCAAATCCCCAGTGGTCTGGCATTAATTGGGTGGACCCACATGGGCCAGAATACCACAAACCTGAGACCAATTGGGTTTTTTTTTTTTTTTTGTTTTTTCCTTTGCCAAAACAATGTCGTTTTGGGCAAAGCGTTTTTTTTTATAAAAAAAAAAAAGTTCAGGCTGCAATGGTCAGGAACAGTACCATAAGGCACTGTTTGGTGGCATAATTTTCTTTGGAAAAAAAAAAAAAACCCAAAAAAGAGATTATTTTGAGCTCATTTTTTTAAAAATAAATAAAGTAAAATAAAATTCATTAAATAAATTTTACCTAAAGGGGTGTTTCATAGTCAAACAGGCGGTGAATTTGAGTTAAAAAGTTATTAGCGTTAAGCATAACATCAATCTTACCTTTTAATCCATATAATGGATGATGTATTGTTTAAAGTTATTTTAATTCATATAATGTATAATGTATTGTTTAAAGTTATAATATTAGTCCTATTTTTTTTTTAATCCGATAAGAAGGTCTCATAATTTTTCATTTATTTATATATTATAACTTTCTTAAAATAATTATGTTAATTATTAAATATCAACAAATAGAGGGATTTGACAGTGACCTAAAAGATTTATATTGTTTATCACTCTTTTTATTTTATTTTTTGAGGGCTCCAAAATTTTTTCCTTATATATTATAAGTTACCTAAAATTTTTATTTTCTTTTATTATTAAACCTGAGAAATTTAATAGTAGGCCCAAAATATTTCTATATTATTTTTTTTCTCTCTCTCTCATCCTTTATTACATGAGGGTATACACACATCTACATATATATTACTCCTCCTTATCATTACACCAACCATCAATATTATCCATTGTGGTGAGACTTATGACTTTCTATATTTTTTTAAGAAACCTATTAACTTTTATTTTTTCTTTTTTCCTTATTCCTCACATATTTTTTCTCCTCTCATTATAATTTTTTTATTATTTTCATCTTCTTAACTCTTACAATTTACAACCTCACTTTGTCATCACAAGACTTTGAATGAACTTTTATTCTATTAAATAATTTTTTGGAGTAACTTTTATTCTATTAAAGAATTTTTTGGAGTATTGAACCAAATTCTTCGAAATCAGTTTCTATTATTCTATAACTTTAATTAGTTTATAGTTTTATTAAATTTTGTTATCATAAAATTATATATTTTGTTTGTGAGTTGTCATCATTTTTATTTATATTGTTGAATATTTCTTCTAGAAAGTATACAGTCAATTAGTTAACGATAGATTTAGAGATTGAAAAAAAATTAGTACTAAAGCTTAAAAATCACAAAACAAATAATGAGTATATTACTAGCATGAACATATGGTAGACTTTATTAAAAGGCCATTTTATTTTTTTTCGCCTAAGGCTTCAAACTATATTGAGCCGCCCCTGTCCATATAGTCGGTAGTGTAATGTTTAAACTTATAATATTAATCCTATATTTTTTAATCCATATAATAGATAATGTATCGTTTAAAGTTATTATCTCGATTCTACCTTTTTAATAATTTGCAAGATATTATTTGCCATTGGAAGATATTCTACTACAACGGAAAGATATGAATGTAGTGATGATTTTTATATGAGAGAATGAGTGTTTATTGTATAAGATGAAAAATATAGTGGTTAGGAAAAAGTAAAAAAAAATAATAATAATTTAAATTTAAATTTTTTTTTTTTTGAGTGGGAAAATTCGGATAGCTTAATAGAGTACCTGTTTCTAGAGAGCGAAAGCTGTTAACATGGCTCTTGGAATTGCTGACGTGCCTTTTAAAAAAACTGAAGTGACATTTATAGAGAGCCAAAATCTAGAAAGGCTGGTATGAATGCTCTTAGAGCATCTCCAATGGAGTCTCTAAAATTAAGCTCTCCAAATTTGCCACATTGGCATTTTCCAAGAGTCATGTCAACATTTCCCATAACCAAGTCAGCGTTTTGGAGTCACCAAATTTTAGCTATCGTATGTACTCCAATGGTACGTTTTCACTCTCTAAATATTTTAATATTTTTCAAATTTTTAATATTTTTTCTTTTAACTATTTCCTAACGGTTATATCATACAAAAAAATTAAACAATACAACATTTATTATGAATTATAAAAATTAAAACAATACAATACGATATGAATTTATTTATAAAAATATGTTTTTGTACCAATATAGCTGTTGTGCCTAAAATGGCTATAATGTAAGTAGTGTGATTTAAAAAAAAAAAAAAAACCACTTTTCTCCATTTTTTAAAACTTTTTTTTTGCTCAAAAAAGCCTTTAAAACACTGTTTGTGTTAGCTAAATTGTGCCTTAATGGCTCTTTGGTTTAGTTATGTTGGGGGAAAAAAAAAAAAAAAAAAAAAAAAAAAAAAGCAATTTTTTTCCAAGCCAAACGTGCCCTTAAAATTAAGTCTGGGTTATAGTGGAGCTGGGCTATAATACTTTGGGCCACTAAAGTTAAAATAAAAATAAAAAAGCAAGTGGCCTGCGCAAGGCAGGCCCGCGATCACCAACAAGGTCGCTGTTTTGAACAACCCATTCTGCGACCCAAAATCTCAAGCCCACTTTTTAAAGAGTCCATTGGACTACTAGTATGGCCAATTTAGGCCCAAAGTTTCTAAAATTACTACCATTGGACTTACTCTTGGAAGACACATTGAATTGTCTTAGAAGACACTTGAATTGTCTTTTGCTCTCTCACATTCACAACGAAAACAAACGTCTTTCAAATATTACAATTATAAGTCACAAAGTTTGATCCGAATAACTTGTCTGCTCTAATATTTTATTAATTTGAGAAAGTTTGGTGAAATCAACCCTTTAATATATATATATATATATATATATATATATATATATATATCACTATCAATTTCCAATTCAGTACTCTTTTAGACTTTTTAGAAAAACTCGATGCTCTTGCCAATAGAGATTGTTTGAACCACATAAATCAATGTGCTAACCTGCATATTTGAAGAACCACATGCAAGTTCTAGAAGGGTTTAATCCAAAATCTTGGTATGTTGTTCTATTATAACAGACTTGCTAACATAAAAAAAAATTGTGGATCTCACTACGTACATCATCAATATTTTTCCGTCTCAATGATTAGGGCTGGTCCTGGGCATTAGCGGCCTAGGTGATTGCCTAGGGCCTCCAATTTGGGTCAGTTTGGAAGGGCCTTGCATTCTAAAATTGGCCTAGAATCTTTCAAAATTTTAGAAAATTTCAAGGCCGGCACAAATTATGTCGTCGTGTATATCTCACTCT